GACTTCTACTTGGAGAGTAGTGTGCCCACTGTTCCTGGTACTGGACTCCTGGTGCTAGACCCCTGGTACTAGACTCCTAGTTCTAGACTCCTGGTGCTAGACTCCTGGTACTAGACTCCTGGTTCTAGACTCCTAGTTCTAGACTCCTGGTGCTAGACTCCTGGTACTAAACTCCTAGTTCTAGACTCCTGGTGCTAGACTCCTGGTGCTAGACTCCTGGTACTAGACTCCTGGTGCTAGACTCCTAGTTCTAGACTCCTGGTGCTAGACTCCTGGTACTAGACTCCTAGTTCTAGACTCCTGGTTCTAGACTCCTGGTGCTAGACTCCTGGTACTAGACTCCTGGTGCTAGACTCCTGGTGCTAGACTCCTGGTACTAGACTCCTGGTTCTAGACTCCTGGTACTAGACTCCTGGTGCTAGTTCTAGACTCCTGGTACTAGACTCCTGGTGCTAGACTCCTGGTTCTAGACTCCTGGGACTAGACTCCTGGTGCTAGACTCCTGGACTCCTGGTACTAGACTCCTGGTGCTAGACTCCTGGTGCTGGTTCTAGACTCCTGGACTCCTGGTACTAGACTCCTGGTTCTAGACTCCTAGTGCTAGACTCCTGGTGCTAGACTCCTGGTGCTAGAGTCCTAGTTCTAGACTCCTTGTTCTAGACCCCTGGTACTAGACTCCTAGTTCTAGACTCCTGGTGCTAGGATGGGTTAAAAGCAGAGGCCAAATGTCACTGTGTGTGCTGTGTGCTCTGCATGTGAGACCATTAAAGAGGGGTTCATCCCGATTCTATCTACTTAACGATACATTTACAACATTGTTCCAAAACCCAGATCTTCCTTTGGGAAATAATCAGTTCTATAATTTTATAAACTGCTCGTGTCGAAAGTGTTTTGTAAAGATGGTCTTTAGAAAACTGGATTTTACAGGAAAACTAATCTTATTCTAAGAAATGTATTCACATGCATCGAAAGTATAACTCTGGATAATCTTATACTAGTTCATAAATATCCAACCAGTTTGTTTTGTATTTATTTTATTTTTTGAAAGTCATCAGTTTACAGCTTTAGTCACAAAGAGACAAACAGCACAAACAAAAGCATTTTTCCCTTTGTATCCAATTCCAGTTGTTTAATTAAAGACACTTTCTCCCTTTTTAAAATACACATTTCAATCAAAATAACATTTATCCTGGATTTCAAACTAAAAGCATTTTAATTTCAAAATAAGTCTGTTTTTACACGTTTGACTTAAATCTACCAAAAACATATTTTACATTTAAGATATCTTTTGTCAAAGTGGAAGATAATGCTTTGTGCGTTAAAAAGGCCCATTAAATATAAAAAATGACGATCAGTGCAAGCATTGAAGGCACTTTGGTCTTCAAACTACATTCATTTGATAGTTTCAACCAATTAAGAAAAAGAAAAGTATCAAAAAGTTGCTTTGTAAACATTATAACGAGAGATAAATGAAAGTGAAACTGCAGCAAGTTTGTGCATGAGATGGAGGGCTGACAGGCAGGTAGGCCATCCAGTTACTTTAGCCGGGCCGGCTCAGATGATTGGTCGTTACAGTACTACGGCTTCCAGAGATGAGATGTTTTTATGTATTTATTTTTAAAGCATTTAATGTATTTACTGCTATCAGGATGTTAAGAGCATTCAAGACTATCAAACCTTTACATTAGTGATCTTTCAATGTAGTTTGACTTTTAACTTTTTTAAATGCACTAATTTCCTTTTCTTTTGTGAAATATGGAACACACAGTTCCTTAGAAAACAATCACATTTTAAGGAATAAATTGCCAAAATGTTGTCCCAAATTCAAAACGTGTATTAGAAATTAATCTAAAGCCAAAACGTATTTATTATTATTGTATTATTATAAAAACAAAACGAGCCAAAATGGAGAGAATAGTCTCAAAATGTTCTTAAACTAAATATTTTGCAACCTAACGTTTAATGTTGAGAGGAAAACACAAAAAGCAATGAACAAAATCAGACAAAAAAACCTCTGTGATTAATACATCAAAAAGCTGATCTGCATTAGAGAATAAACCCAATGTCACGAGTAAGGCACGATATGGCACTGAATGAATACATGAAGAGGACGAGGAAGAAGAAGAGGAGGAGGAGGAGGAGGAGGAGGAGGAGTGTTTAATACTCCGGAGGGTTTTTCAGCTCCTCGTATTTGGGCGGCATGGCGGAGAAGATGGCGGGGATCGTCATCATCGGGGCACGGAGGGCGTGGCGCATCTGATGGATCATCACCGAGCTCAGAGCCAGGCCCAGCAGCTGCAGGGGGTCATGGGTTCAATGTTTGGTATTCAATAACAAAAGGAGAACAGGAAGTGAGACGAAGAGGTAAATACAATTCTACTTTTTAGTTTTAATGGTAAAGGTCACCGATCATGCTATTCAAGAGGAGGGGTCTGAGCTCATGCACCCGGCAGCTACTGTCTAAACTAAATGCTGCCGTGATGAAACACCATATCATGGATTATCAAGGATTCTCTCTGAAACAGTATGGAGCTCAAAGGCTTTCTCTCTTGCCGGTTATACCACAAGGTGAGTTCCTTTTTACTTCCTGCTTCTTCACACACATGCTCTCCAGTACAGGTTAGCTCTGAGTGTTAGCGAAAATCGTATTAAATCTATAAATACAAAAAATGAACAGGGAAAAATAAAGAATGTAAAGGGAAAAAAACACTTTTATTTACAAAATGTGTTATTTTAAATATTCTGAGATTCATGGATTAGATTTATAATATTAGCACAATCATAACAGAATAAAATCTGTTATATTCAATAAAAAAGTTAAATGACGGTAATGTGTAGTTTTGGATACGCTGAGATTTAGGTGTTGAATCTAATCAAAAACAATTATATTAACACATAATAATCTTCCCCTTTTCCGAAGTTGTATTCTGAGGTGACTTCACGAAAAGAAAAACGTACAAATGTGGATATTTTCAGATATTTAAAAAAAGGGTTATTTAACGAGAAAAACCTCAGAATTCACGAGAACAACACGTACGGATTAACAGCAACATCATCCCAGATTAAAGTGCGAAAACTATAAGAAAATAAATAAATAGGGTTTGTGTTAATAAATATAAAAGATTAATTCTCACCGCCAGAACAGCCAGAGTGAAGAAGACTCCGATCATGATGTCGGCGAGGAGCAGGACGTAGTTACGGAGGATCGGGAAGCACGCCTGGAGACGAGAGGAAACGTTTGTTTAAAAAGGTGGGATGATTATTTATTATTTTCTGCCTTTTTAATATCTCAGGTCCACTCACCTTCTCGTAGATCACCTTCTGCTCCAGGTGTGTCTGCAGGAAACCACAGAAGAAGAGAAACGTGACTCACCTGGACACTTAGGCCCAAACCACACCCTACCCCCTACACACTACCCCCTACACACTACCCCCTACTCCTTACACACTACCCCCTACACACTACCCCCTACACACTACCCCCTACCCCCTACACACTACCCCCTACCCACTAATCTCAATTTGTCTTGCAACGATTACGAAAACAGCGTAATCGCAATAAAACGATTATTTTGCTGATGCTCTCAATTTGTCTTGCGTTATACATCCTGCCCCCCC